CTTTTACATATGTAAAGATGATATATCATCATTACTTTTTTCCAGTTAATTGGGGTTCGCAATACAATTTTAGTCCGTCATTCTGCTATATTAAAGGTCATATCTTCAGTGATGCCAAAAGTCCTCATATTTTTTCAGATTACTTCTGAAGAGATATGAAAATATGATATAACTCAAACTTATCTTATTTACAATTTAGAACCAACACCCCTCTTATTCTAAAATCCAATAAAAGAAAAGGGAATTTTGTACTTGAACAACGCAACAAAATAAATAATTTTAAAAAATTAATGAATTTTTTAAGGCCTAGATATGTTGTGCACCCGATAAAAAATAGCCAGAAATGGCAAACTGGATTTTCCCTTTCCATTTTCAACATTCGATAAAAAATAGCCACAAATGGCAAACTCGATTTTCCCTTTCCATTTTCAACATTTATTTTGACTGACATGTGCAAAATTTGGGGTCCATTAGGTCTGAAGTGACTCAAGCAATAGTATAAGCTTATTCATCACCACCATCTTCAGCTCATTGCTTTTACATGGTATAAGTTTATTGACTTGCATAATTTTCTTGCAAGTTATACCATGAGTGTATTCTCTTCCGGCTTTCTTATAAGCAAGTAAGTATGTTTTAACCAATGGTTTAAAAAGCGGATTGGTGACCCTGATCGGGCACTTCAAAAACTGATCCAAATCGGCGAATCGACGATTCGAATCGGGAATCGACTGAATCGGTCGGATTAAAGCTTCTAAAAAATCCGAAAAAATTATTAAAATTCATTATAAATGTTGTTTTTTAGGAATCCAATAAGAAATGCAGGTACTACATTATTAACTTGCAGTTTTTTCATCAATTTGTGAATATTGAGATGCTCTTTCCCTGTATAAACTTAAGTATTAAATTTGCATCACATAAAAAAAAAAATCATAGCATTATCATTGATAAAATTTATAATTATATATAGACTATAATAAAAAATAGACTAAATCAATGAAAGAATGGCCATTAAAATCTCGTTTTGGCAAAAAACCCTAATCCGCTAAAAAAACCCAAATTATTAATCCCTAACTAACTATAATCCAAAATTATTACGACCTAACTAATTATAATATTATATACTAAAATTATAATTATTAGTTTACATTTTATAAT